CGGCAAATATTTCTTTCCAAGTGAGAAAGGTCTTTTTCGTTCTTGAACGGTTTGAAGTTAATCCCTCCAATGTGAACCCCAAGGAGATTTGAGAAAAAATTTCTTGTTCCGAGGCCAAAGTCCCATAGCTTGTGGTTGAGAGCGGAAAGCTTTGAGAAGAAGAGTTACAAAGTATCTCTGCTTTCTTGGAACATGATAACCACATTCCCCCATTCCCCCACCATTGAGGCAGAGATGTGCACAAAGCAAGCGCACAGTCTGGTTCAAGTGAATTAATTCACGGAAGACAGCAGCCACAGTTCTGAAGTCAGACTATATTTTTAAAAGTCAATAGACATTGAAATTTCACTACAGAAAGTTAAACTCACACACACAAAAAGGTAAGGAATGTATCCAGAATTCCAATTTAATCCCCGAGTTAAAACTTTACTGCACTCCCAAAGAACACATGCAAATAGTACAAGTAAATGTCTGTGTTTAGGCATCCTTTATTTAGGCATTTTTGTTTGGAAAAATGTTGAATTAATTTTCATTCAACAAAGTTAGTCTATCTGACTTGTGTGTTTTATTGGCAGAATAGAACTGGTTTTGGTGACAAAAGCTGTGTTTGCATTGTTATCTTAAAATTTTTTGGAGTGGGGCTGATACACATACATGTGGAAGGTCCTCTCCCTGAGAAATCGAAACTTACTTCCTCAGCAAGGGCCTGTAATTTAAAAAAACTACATGGATTACTGAAGCTGAACTGTTTTTCTCCCAGGGAAGGGAAGTGGTGTCTTATTTAGAAAATTTATACAAACACATGCAAAACAAGCTAAAATGCTCAAAGTGCCATTTAAAAATCTCTTACAAAATTACCAAAATGAAAATTTTCTTCTCAAGTAATTAGATCAGTTCAGTGCTTTCTGGGACTGACCTCCCTAGTTGATGTTTCTTGAAAAGTAGAAAATGTATTCACCCTTCTCACAAAAAATTATCTCCTCCAGATTGCTCAAAAGTTTTGGAGCCATGGCTTGCTAAAACACCAAACCAAAATACATGCACACATACACACCACTAACAACAACAAAATAACAAAAACCTATTTAGTACTGCCGCTAAGGGAGAAAACTTTTTTCTTTCGTTTTTATTTATTTTTATTTTTTGGTAAGATGCTGTTGAAAATTAAATTTCTAGGGGAGCAACAAAAAAAAAAAAAAGAAAAAATTCTGTGAAAAAATTCTCCTGAAATGTTGTTTTGGCTAGCTCAGTTCATCACAAAAAGTTTTCATGTTTTCATAGAAAATAATTTCAGACTTTGGTGCTACATTTAGATTAGAAAGCCGCCATAACTTGCAAAAATATTGTGGCTTTGGTTACACAATTAAATGGTTGTTTGAATAGTTGGATGGTAACAACACAAGCAGTGGCATATATAACTAAAATGATCAATTATCTACCTATATTTATATGTATATTGATGAAGCAATTTTTGTATAGAGAATAATAACTTATGGGAACACTTTACAGTTTCCAAAGAATGATCACATCTTTATTTGAAAATATATTTACTGTAACGATTAGCACGACTTTTCTCCAAAAAAGGCATAATTTTATCGTTATGCATCTATATAGCACTTCCTTCTCAGAATCCCCATCATTTTACTAGGATCTTTAATCATATATAGGAGGAGGGGTACTTGCATAAATGTATAAGCAGATACACTCGATTAAAATAAAATCAAACGCTTCCATGGATGCAATGATATTTACTTTATCTGACAGTAATTAGCTAAACAGTCTGAAACGAAAACCTATTATTAGTTGAGCGCAGCTCCAGGATTTTAAAGATCCTCTTTTCAGACAAGAGAATGCAAATGCCCCAGAACGAGATCGTAACTGGATACGCGTTGGAACCAGATTCCACATTCTGATAAGTGACTCCGGAGAACCCACCGCGGCTGGAGTGTAACTACGGCTCAGGCGCTGTCCTCCCGGACAGCGCGCGCACAGCTGGTGGCAGCGTACACTTGACGTGGTCCGGGCTGACGGCTGTGGGCACCGGAAAAGCTTGCTGCCCAAGTAGGATTGGCCTAGTGGAGGGAGATCCCTGCTGGGAAGCTCCGCTACGGAAGAACCAGATCCACCAAAAGGAGCCTGAACAACTAGGGCAGGGTAGTCGGAGAGGACCCTAGCTCCTGCTCAGAGCATAAAGCAAAGATCAGCTCTAGGTATCGGGTGGAAGTCTCCTGCACGCTAGATCAGCCATGCGCAGAGCTGGGTATAAGAGAAAACGGAGACAGGGCACAGAACCCGCCTGCTAGGCCTCTGCGCCTGGGGTCCCTATTCTTTGGATCCTCACGGGCCTCCAGCCCAACAGGTTTGAACTGAGTCCCTGGGCGGCCTGCTGAGGAGCAACCTAGCCAGGGGCCGCAGAAGAGAACCACTGAGGCCTGGCTCAAGGGTCCTTGGCGGGATAGTGCTAACAGCGGGTTTGGAGGAGAGCGGACATCGGGGGCTTGCGGGTGGGTAGGAGACAGCCTTCTGCATGCCCAGGGAGAAGGCAACCCGGTGGTTCCCGGCGGCAGCAGTGGGTGTGGGGCGTTCCTCGGCGTCCCCACACCCCCCAAGAAGGGGGTTTTTGGAGATGGGTTTAGAGAAGGCCTAGGAGCGAAGCGCTGTGGAGAAGAGAACGTAGCAAGGAGAAATGCATGCTTCGGGTGGAAACCGGGGAGAAATAGTTTCGGTAGCTTTTGTATTTTTCTTTTTTTCTGACTCTTGAAATCACATAAGAAAAGCACCCAAAGAGGCGAAAAAATTGAGGACCAGTGGAAAGCAAAAACATGCCCCGCGACAGTCTATCCCTGAGGAAGGGGGTTGGAGCAGTAAGGCTGGGGCGCAGCTTCCTTCTTTTACGCTCTCCTGCCACCGCGACGCACACACTCAAGGACCCCCGCCAGCCAGTGCCGCGCACTCACCCCCACCTCTTTCTCGATCTTTGCGCCCAAGTGCTTGAGATCCGCGGCAAAATCAGGCGCATTCTTCTCTCTGCAGCACCACAGCTGGGTTTGGAGACGCCAGCCCCGCCTGGGCCGTCTCATAATTCAAAGCAGAAGGGCACCAGGCTCCCCTATAACTGAGGGCTGGTCATCCCCTCACAAAGCCCTACCCACAGAGAGTCCCTACAACGCCCGCGGGCCGCTGCCGCCACCTAAGAACTCCCCTGCGCACGTGGGCCGCGCGGCATCCTAGCTCCCCGGGCGGCCCCCAAGGGCTGACTCCCCGCACCATTTCCGCTCCCTCCTGAA